GGTCTGAGATTAGATGCAGCTTGTCCAGACATTCAAAAACAATGCCCACATCACTTCTCCCCACAGTTTGTCCTCTCCCCTGAAAGCCCAGAGAAAAGCTATTTTTTCCCTTCTGCTCCCTGCTGGTTTTCCGGCTCTGTTGTCTCCCTCCCTTGAAACAACTTCACACTGGCTTCCTCGTGGCCTCCCTTCTCCCAAACAACTTCCCGTCTGCTTCCCTGTTCCCTCCCCATTTCTGCTGCTGTCTGCCTGCCCAGGAGCAACTCCCATCCAGTTTCCTTTGCTGGACCTCTGCACAGAACAGACACCCAGGTGACCACGCAATTGGGATGGGATTAAAGAAAGCTGATAAAATTGTGTTTGCCTGATTAGCCTGACTAAAAAGTCTGTAGTCCTGGCACCCAGAAACTCACTGGTACCAAAGAGTTCTGGTTCTGGTTCCTGTAATGCCTATTATCCTGTAATAACTTAAAATTATTGGCACCGCAAGCTACTGCCTATACAGGCTTCCTAAAGTGGATTCTCTTCCTCACATTCAGACAAAAAGAGACCGAGGCAGCCTTAGCAACTATCACAATGTTAGCTGTTAACCAAGACAGCCGTTCTTTAGCAAAAGGCAGTTATTTCTCTTTTGCCATCTATTAATCCCCCAAAAGCATTAGGCTAATTTACTAGCGATATTAAAGAATAATAGGGGAGAAGTACTGCTATCCATTTTTCTGGCTGTACTAAAGGACATAAGATCCCAAATCCAAAAGGTTCACTACCGATAAGCATCAAACAGTCTATTTTCAGCAGCAACTTCATGGGATCAAAACCTTTACTTGAATTGAACAAAGATCAGTTCTAAATTTATCCCCAAACATTTGAATGTGACGATGGCAAAAATGTATTATGCCAACAGAATTAGGAGACATCTTGAAAGATATTTAAGATTATCATAATTAAATGATATTTCTACTTAGCATTCCAATTATACCGTGTACTGTTCTGTGCACAACATGGAAACAGTATTATAACGCTATTGTTTCAGTTTGCTTCCTGTGATACTAATCTCAATCAGGCCGTCAGACGAACAGCCTGCATTTCTAAATGTTAAAGGCTTCCTTTCCAACATTCCCACACAGAATTGCCTACTGTGAAAATCAAAGGGAAACGTGTTACTAAGTAAAGCAGCAACTTTTATAAAGCAAAACCTGGTATTTTTTACCCTTTTGAACTCTGAGATATACAACCAGCTATTTCCTATTATGATAGGATACAAGGGCCAAGCTCGGGCCCTGCAACGCCTGGAGGAGACGTGCACCCTGCAATCCAGAAGCCGGGATTTTCGGAGGCACGTACGGGGAGAGCTCTCAATGGGGGCTCAGATTCGTGGGCTCTGCCATTCACCTGCTGGAAGAATGTGGGCATAGATTTCCCTAGGTCTTGGCTTCCCAACAGATAAACAATCATTATGCAGGAACAGCTAGTAAAACAGCCTGAGTTACACGAGTGAAAAGCCCTATTCCGTGTCAGGGAATAATAGGAAGGGGCATGAGACACTCAAGGCCAGCGGACTGAGGCTGGCAAGTTGCCTACAGCCATCTCTGAAATCCCTTTTGGAGCATCAGCTTGCAGAAAGCCGAGGATGCGGTCCTGGGAAGGCCCTTGCTCTCTCCGCTCCCAGCAAAACTGCCATCGAACGAAGAAATACGTTCGCATTCGAGAATCGTGCCCACAAACAGTAATATAAAATAAAATCTGGTGTACCAGTGGATTTTGATAGAATAAATAATAAATTACAAAAATGCTAATCAAGTGGTACTTTTTACTACCTTTTGAAGCATTTTTCAAGTTGAATTGCAAGCTTATTTTAGTGACATTGTATATATACATAAATGCAGTAAATGTTATTTTAAAGTCCTAATTAATGACAGAACAAATACTCCCACTTAACTCCAGTTTACACTAAGTGTCTAGCCCAAATAATCAAAACTATTTCCACAAAGACAACATAAAGCAAAGGGGGGGTCTGTGGGCTGGGGCAGGCGTTTGCTTCTCATGCACGCTGCAGTTCCCCACCTCCTCATTTCCCAGTTCAACTGTCGGAGACGACACAGTATACCCCCATCAGTCGCATCAGGCTCCTCAAATGCAACGCAGAATTAACAGCCAAATTCCAGTCTGCTAAACGTGCATGTGGCACAGGGGCAGCTTTGCTTTGGGCTCAGAAAGGGTTTAGAGCAAAAGTGAGAACGGAGCGTGGACAGGCGTCACACAAGCCCAGCGTCCATTTGCTCCACACTCTCATCGAAACGTGATGAGCAGCAAACTTCTTCATCTGAGAGCCAAAAGCTGTACTGAAAACCTATTGCTTTGAATTAAATCAAACAGCCTTCTAGTGAAGCCGGTGTCCTTATAAAGACTGCCAATATGCAGAAGCCTTCCATCAAAGACTTAAATTCTGCTTTTACAGGAACAGATCAGAAAAACAGCACCCATCAAATATTAGCTGTGTTATGCAGCTATCGTACAGCAATGGTGTTAATGAGTCCTCAGAGGCAGTATTTTTTCAACAAAGCTCACCTGCCAGAAATGCCTATATTCAATTTCACAGCCTTGTCTCCCAAGAGCAAGGAACAGTTGTCAACCTGATAGAGATTTACTTTGGCCAGAGCAGTACTCTACACCTGTGAATCTCAGGAGCCTCAGCAAGCATAAACTGTTGGGCAATTGCAGGAGGAAGAGATAATACTCTGAAGTCAGTATTCTGATCACCATAATGAAAGTTCTCTCTCTGGTGCCACTTTATGCCTGATAAATTTTATCTTTCAAATATTCAGCCTTCTCATTTAGCTTGGCTACTTTAAATGTTAGCTATACTCAGAAGAATTTAAGTAGCAGATGAGGCTACTCGTCTTTACAAGCAAACAGTGGTTTTCTGGCTTGAGTTCTTTCATTTCAGTGTATTCTCATTGTCAGAAAATAATACCCAGCTCTTCCAGAAAAGCAGTCCCTTTAAGTTCAATTCCTCAGAATAGAAGCACTAAAGATTTTGAAGCCTTTATCTACATCTCCAGCATCTACAGATGCAGCAATGGACAAATCTGCACTTGACTAACACACCAATTTTAATGAGAGGACTTACTCTAAGTCAATATTTAGACTGGGGAAGCGCATCAGATTTAAGGTTACACAAATAACTAACGTAGAGAAAGCCCGAAATATTAAATGACAGCCTGTCACTACTCTAACGTTTCATTTCCAGATTCCTTTCTAACTGCTGGGTCCTGGTGGTGCTTCGAAAGAATGTAAATCAACTACAGGAATCACACTGTTTTTCTAACACTGCCACAGAAAAATCATATATGTATGTGTATGTATGAATATTATATGTACCTACTGAGTTGTCATCACTATCAAATTACATGACCCTAAGGTCATGTAACACTACAGAAGCACTAAACCAAATGTTTTATCTGTAGATTTTTTCCTCACATTTTTTTTCACCAAGAAATTTATTCAAAAAAGTTCACTTTAAACTAAGCAGTTTCCAGGTGAGCAAATATCTTTTCTGATGATGACAGCATCAAACTATTTCATGTCAAGTTTCACAGTCACACGCATTACTTATATTCTCTGTTGAAGTCCTTCAAAAGTTTGCTTTTCCTATGCTGTGCCAGTCTCTACTTCATGCCATATAAATATTTGAAAAGCTGAAGCTGAGTTTTTATGAGAAAGTTACTAACAAATTGGCTTGGTACACGGCATGTTTAAGAACATTCACCTATTTACGCAACTTCTTCAAGTATTAATTACATGATAAAATCAGAGATGATTTCCAAACAGCATTCAGAGCAAATAAACTTTTATTTTCACAGAAGTAAACGTTAAAATCAGATTCTAGAAGCTAAGGTGAAAATACCCACAATAGTACCAGCAGAACCAAAAAAAGCTACAAAAACTACAGAGCTCTCAGAAGCAGAATTGAATTTGTCCTATCTTTCAGACTAACCAACAACAAACCAACAGCATGCTCTTTCACAAAATGAGATACTTCCTAATAACATTTATTAAAGTAATTGTTATGGTATGACTCAACTTTTCTAAAGAGAGGAAGTGCAATCATGACCTTATTGGGAGTTTTGCCATTAATGAAGGAAAAGATGAAATTTTGGGGTTACCTTTCACAAACAATGCAGGCATTGTTTTGCTAACGTATTCTCGACACTTATAGGTCACTGTGTAAAAGCTGCCCCAGAAAGATCAGTTGTTTTCATTGATCTTACAGGCTGCTCAAACCACAGATTTCCATCTAAGTGATTATTCAAATTTAGGTGCAAAATAAGAATATTGTTAATTTTATCAGTTTTCACAGGCTATGAAAATGATGCTGGTTCACATTTCCTACTAGTCCAACACGAGCAAGACTCTGATTACACAGAATCCATTCATGTTGAGTATTTAAAAGCTGTTTGCTTTAGCTATCTTAGTCTACTTCATCATAAACAACCTACCTACTACTAATTTCTGGTGTAATGCACAGTTAGTCCTTTCAAATGAAGTACTGGACCTGCAGAACTTCCCAGCTGCCTTTTCAATGCACTGGCACAAACATGCTTGCCACACCAAATCAAAATTTACTTGTTTCGGCATGGAAACTTAAGATGTATGTTTGAATTCTGACTAAACTCTGAAAAGTTTAAAATCTTGTAACTGAGCTTAATAAACCACATTCAAGAGTTTTTTTTTCAGAGAGGCAAAGCTGCAACAGTTGTTGTATTGGTAATAAAGACCTTGAATGACTAATACCGCTCAGATTTTTCTAACGCAATTAAAATATGCGTAATTCTTATGAAAAAACCCCCCACCAACCTATCTGTAAATCTGCTTGTATTTTCACAACACAAGCAGTTGTGTCCTGTTCTCACTTTAGGACCCAACTCAGTGAAGAATATGCACAATCTTACCAAGCTGCCATCAAGTAGCATTGACAACTTCTTTTAGCCAGATCTTACCTGAAGACAGAAGCTTGTGAGTGCGTAGGAAACTGATTGCCAGGCGCATTATGGATGCTTTGTCCAGGTGGGAACTGATGTTGTGGGGCAGGGGCAGCTCATGTGCCAGTTCATAGAAAACTTCAGTCTCTTTACTTCTTCTGCATCTTGCTGCATCTCTTGATTTCTCCTTCCTCCGTTCGGAACTGCTCCTGGTAGGCAAAGGAGAAAAAGGAAAAAGCATTTGTTCAAGTGCAATTCATGGATTGAGAGAGGCATTTATAAGAATAAATCTTGTCAGCAATGAATCCATTCTGTCAACTGGTTTAAATGAACTGATCAGACTTTAATATCTATTTGCTCCTTTTAAAATCAGAATTAGGAGAAGACTACCACATCTGGAAAGGGCTCCAATTCTACACAAGTCAGCCTTTGGACACCCTGAATCCCTGTTAAGTGTAACAGGATCAAGATCTGCACCAGGCAAGAGATTTGAAATGAAACAGTAAACTATTATTCCTGGGATTCAGGAAATGTTAAAAATAAAAATTTTGTTTGATCAATCTAAATTAATTTACTTGAAAAATACTCTGGGATGAGGCGACAATCCATTTTAAAGCTGGAAGAATTACAGTGCACATGGCTGTGTCACAGATGTTTCATAGAGTTTCAATAGCTGTACCCCTCATTAAAATAAAAGTAATAATAGGGTATCAAACTGTGTTTGTATATACAACTGTCTCAGCTCTTAATCCAACACTACTCTGGAAAACCACATTTCCTTGACCATGAAGGATACAAAACGGGTAAGAAAATACTGTTGTTTGCAAGAAACCCCTCCTTTGCAGAAGCTATTCTAATTAAATCACCATCTCTCCATTGTCTATGAAAATAGATTCCTTCTTGTGCAAAATAACATGACCAATAGAACCAGCCTCCCTCAAACTCTGCAGAGAACAGAAGAGCAGGAAATAACGAAGGGGAAAGCATTTTATGAAGCAAGTATGCAAAATTAAGCCACCGAGGGACATAAAACTAAATTTAACATGCGAGAAACACAAGGGCTATATGTATAATGGATCTGGGACAGGACGGTTTAAGACTCTAAGATTCTTCACCGACTCTAAGGTTCTTTTATAAAGTCCAAATCTTATTTCAGAACATGAAGAACCTGAATCCATTCAAAACCATCACCTATCTCAACCCCATGTACCTCTGCTGATACTATAAGTTTCCTTCCCTTGCACAAGTTCAGGTTTTACACCTTAGTCACACCAACACAGAATATATTTCTTTCCAGGCAGATGCCTGTAATTCTGCACCAGCGCAAAAGGCGCAGCTTGGATGCACACAACGGTGTGGAGAAGATCAGCTCCGTCGTTTTTGCTGTTGTGGCTGCACATTCATTTCTAGAATCACCAATGGCAGCTCTCCATTTGCAAGGCCACCTAAAAATGAAGCATCTTATAACCTACTTTTTCCAACATCAGTATAAAATAATGAGCCTATAAACTCAGGTGGCTTCGTAAATTAGAAAGAAGGAAAAAAAGCCAGGTTGCGTGTTAAATGCTAAGAGTAAAGTTACAGTAGGGTGTTTGCTGGGGCCCAGGCAAGGCTGAGCATTCAACATCATCATCTGAAGCAGAAATGTGCTCACAACACATCAGTAGGGCCCTCGTGCTGCAATAAGCTTAGGGATCAGATAGGTGCTAGTGACCTCATAAATGCTTCCGGTATCTTCTCAAGATCCATGATCAGCCCTCAGCAAACTTCTTTCACAATTATTTTGCTTGAGGTGAATATTTTCTAATACGGCATCTGTTACAGGAGATATGCACAGGATGAGACCTACACACATTTCAGTACATAACAGCAGGATCCAACTTCAGGGGCATCACTGGAGCGAACACTGACCCACCCAAGTTTGAATCTAAAGGATCAGGTATTCACAAGGTGACACTAACTCCTTACTTTTATCCTTGCCAAGTAAGAGTCATACTACATCCACGTAAAAAAAAAGTCCTTTTGTATAGCTGTCTGAGAAGGTACAACAGAAAATGCCCTGTGTCCTCCCAGGGCAGGTGTTGGGAACAGGAGCGCCATGTGAACTACCTACACCAGTGCTTCTTTCGGAGATACGTCTTGCTCTCTAAAGAAAAAAGTGTCTACGCTGTACCTATAAAGATGCTATACTGGGGGAAAAAAAAAAATCTTCTCAGTTTCTAATTCTACCAACAAAATAAAAGAGTAGAACCAAAACAAAACCAAACAGAACAAAAACTATGCAACAATATTTGCAAGAATTTCCAATTGCAACTTGGAAAATTTAACTTGAACCATAAATGCTCGAGCTCTGCTCTAAATCTAGAGCCCACAACTTTCACATTAGAAGCAACTTGGCCAAAACAAGATCCCATCCCTCCTCGTTTAAATGCAAAACTTTGGGAACCAAGGCCAAAGCCATGTCGCAATTTGTGCAGTAAAAACGGGTTGTATAAGACAGGGTCTCTCATGACGCCACTCCGGCCACAAATAAAAATATTTAGTTTTGTTAACCTCTGTAAATATAATTTTGAAGTGTGGCTAATGAGACAAGCTGGTTTCATTAACCATGGGTTACTCAAGGTTTCTAATAACTAATGCTATGAGCAGAGAATGGTTTTGTTTTTTTTTCCTCTGTGCCGCAGATGCTTTCCTTCAACACTGCCTCTGACCGTCGTGCTTGCTTTCTCCGCAGAGAGACACCGGTGTTCATTACACGCCGCACCAGAGCTTTCACATCAGAAAACAAGGGCAGGAATCAGCCTGCCTGGTTGCTTTCAAAAGACTTTCTTGCTCACCCATTATCATTTTAAATAAACAAACAATTTGCTTGTTAAGCATTTCCCCTTGTGGCTTCCTTCACCTCAATTTTTCCTCCCCTTCTTCCCTCGCTCAGCACACCCTTGCGGCTGGGTTGTTACCGTAGCCAGCCCACCGCAAGCAGATGGAGGCCCCAAACACCCCCATGCCGCTTACCCCACGCAGCTTCCCCCCAGCAGCCATCTTGCTTGCTGTCCCTCCCAGGGACACCCGTGTCAAAGATGGTCATTCTGTGCTTACTCCTCCTGGTTGCAAAAGCCTCCAAAAATTGCAGTAAGCGACAGAATTCTGCCAAAAGCAGTATTTTGCCCCCACTTTATGCATGGGATTAGCATTTTACCCCGGGCGAGGCTGGACTACCGGCAGCCAGAGAGTGAAATGTGACTACTCAATGACCTGCCCATCTGAAGGCCAGGAAGAAAGGCTGACACCAAATCCTCTTCACACATCGTTAGGGCAATAGAGAAAAGGTCCAGGCTCTAGCTAATTTATGAATCATTCCCTCCCAGCATATAAACCACCCACTTATGTGGCAAAAAAAAAGAGCACACGCGTGCGTCACTGCTTGGAGAAAGTGACGCAAGCAGAAGCAGAAACCTCACTCGCCTGAACCTGTGTCAGATTTTTAAAAACGCAGAGGGGAGAGAGAGGAGAAAGGCACCACACCAATCCACCCGTACGCCGGTGCGAGGCCCGGAGGTACTGCAGGGAAGTCGCCTGGGAGCTCCCCACCACTCGTTTCTCCAGGAGCCCCTGGATCTGGCGGCATAAGGCCCCGCTTGGCCACACACGCACCCTCGCATTGCAATCGCAGCCTGACCCTTCCCGATAAAATGACAAGAAAGGAATGGAGAAGCTCAAATCTCCACTGGAAATAGGGTGACTGAGCTCAGGAACAGGACTGGGGACTCCATGCAGGACTTGACTACCCTGAGGGTGGTCGGGAGGCTCAAGGAGAAGGAAAAGCAAGCCACCGCTTTCCAGCAAGGACTCTCCCAGGGCTGCTGGACGATGCTCCAGGGCCGCAGTACTTAAACGCACACAAGCCATAGGGAATGCAAGAGTTACGGTGGCGCAGGCAGTTCCCTGCCACAGAACACAAGCATGGCACTGTACCCTCAGGACAGCTGTTTACATGATTTCCCACTCCCTCCTGGTGTGTTTAGTTTGCGCTCTGAAAATAGAATTTACGGGCCGACGCATGTGAGCAAATATGACAAACAACTGGCAAGTATTTGCCCTCTCTAGGTGAAGCTCTCACATTTTCAGGAGCAAAAGCTCTCCGCACTTCTCCCAAGAACCTAAACAACAAACCAGTCCCAGGGGTACACCCGCCATGGGAACAGAGCACGCGATCACACCCGCCAGAAGCATCCGAAGGGGTGTAGGAATGTCCTGCACGGATCTTGGGAGCCAGATTCCTCTCCCTTTGCTCATCTCCGACAGCCCCTTGCAACACAGCTTCACTGAAATCGGCAGGGATGCCAGTCTTGCGCACCGGGGGTGAAGATCATAATCTGGCTTTCTGAAGCTTCTCTTACTGCAGGACTGGAAACTCCAGCCACGGCAACTTATTGGCAGAACCTGAAGCCCCACGTAACCGATCTGGCATAAATAACCTTGCAAAACTATCACATCAGCTTAGGGATTGTCTTCCTGGCGCTCACTGCTGTGACAGCTCTGGGCTCTGGCAGCTGAGAGAACGGCTGGAGCCTGGGCACCTGCAGAAGGTACCTGCGACCCAGACACAACGGGAATCAGCCCCACAAACACTGGGGCAAACAGACCACCACCCCCCCTCCCGCACGGGAGCTTATGCCAGGCATACGGCATGACTCCCTGGTCTGCAGTAGGGTTAGATACCCACGCAACCCCCTTAGCTCAGCAGAGGGACCAACCTGACGTTTCGTTACCGTTTCCACTGACGGTGTCCATACTTGCTCTCTGCAGTCTCAATCCTACCAGTACTTCATCTCCAACAGTAATCCCTGCCCACCACCTCCACCCACAGGGCTCCCTGGTCCTTCCCACACACAGCTACACCCTCAAAACCCTTGGTACCCACTCAGCCAACGCCAGCGCCGGGTGGTCAGCTTCAGCGATCCTCCCTTCTGTCAAGGGCATCGGTGGCCTCCTTTAAGCTGATAGAGGGGACTTGCCGAGATAGTAGTCTTCTGCTCAGGGTTTCGCCGCTCTCAACAAGTCCATATGGGTCGATACTTTGGATGTGTATGCACACGCTTCCTTGTTTAAGAACAGGCAGCACAGTAATTGCACTGAATTACACTCCCACCTCGTAGGATCCAGATCACAGAAGCTTTTAGAGAAATCGTAATCTGCACCTTGCATAAAAATACCTTGTATGTAACCTGGTAGCCCTCACTCGTACATACATACTGCGTGACACATTCGTACAATGCTTTGAAATACATAGTTCAGAATGACTCGCTTGAGTTTACTTCATGATTTTGGTGACCCTTGGACTTTGCTTCAAACTGCCATGCATGCAAGCTAGTAAAACAACAAGCGTATTACTTTATATCCAATGGCTGGTTATTAAATGTTTCTAACTCCAGCACTTTAAAGGTCAAGAATCCACAGTTAATTAAGCTGTCACATGAAATTTCTGTAGTAAATACTCATTTCAAACGGTTTAGAGCTAAAGCTTCGACTGCTAACTTGCAGAACAAGAAAAATACGTTCTAGGGATACAAAGATAAGAAAATATTTTTACAGTACAAATAAATGAAAAAACTGATCAGACAGCATAAAAAAGATTTTCAAATTCAAACCAGTAAAAACTCAATAAAGATATTTCAACAGGCAGCATTATCTTAGATAACAACAAAGATTTATTTCAATCTAGCAAATCCATTTTGCATTACCTTCTGCGTGGCAAATCCCTAGATGGTTTAAACCAGCATAATATCTAAAAAGGAGTTTTGCTGATTGCGAGGCACGCTGCTTGACGGCTCCGGTGGTGTGCTTGCACCAACACCAAGCAGCCAGCGGTCGTGCTTACTTAGCCTTAAAATTCCTTTGAAAAGTATTTGTAACTATTCTACCTGACAGGCAGTTTATTCTGGATGGCATGCTGTGCTTTTGAAAGCCCTCTCTGTTAAAGTAATAAAAGTGACCATCAGTAAATAAAAAGCACTACAAACAGCAATTTACTCGCTCACTGGGAGCTCGGGCCAAACTATGAAAGCTGTGAATGAAACTCATACACAGTGCCATACAGATCCCTCCTTATACCTCTTCCCAGTGAAAATAATTACTTCTGAAGCCTGAAAAGACACCAGATGCCCAGATTCAGCATATCAGCAAGAGCGATAGGAAGAGGAAAGACCAGAGTCATTCTTGGATGGAGAAAAAAAAATGGCTTGAAAATAAGTGGAGTGCTCACGGCGGGTAGGTGCTAAAGCAGCATCGCTGCACATTCAGATATGGTACCCAGCACACAGACAAAACAAATACAAATGATGCCAAAATAGGGAATTTGTTAATAGAGGAAATGAGAGTTCGAAGGTAACAAGAAAAGCTACTAACAGAAAGGGCTATTACAAAAATAAGGAAATGAAATACCTTCCACCCTTCCTTTAAAGCTGCCCTAGCTTACAGTAACGCACCACCAACTCCTTGGTTTGATTGGGGGATTTCTTGTGCCTCTGTACGTACTCACTAAATAACAAATCACTGCTAGTTCAGTAAAGCTTGGCACCTACTGCCACATCAATACGTGATGCAATTCTTTCCTCCAAGATTAAAACCAAAGGCTAAATGAGAGTCAGGAAAATGAGAAATATGAGCGTCTCAGGGACAGATGAGGGAAGAGATGAGGAAAGCATTTGTGTTAAGGGTGAGGAACTAATTTCTGTTCTCATTAGGCCTTTTCAGAGGACGCTTGGCACAACGATAAGGGACTTGGCAAGTACTATTAGAGTATCAAGAGATGAGGCCTAAGTGAATACCAAACTTTTGGTGTCTTTGAATATATTTATGATTCACTAAGTCCACCACCCTAGGACCGCCATAGCTTACAGTAACACAGCCAAGAATACATTTTCTTGAATGGGGAGCACATCTGCTGGTACCTTTAGTCTTAATAATTAAACTGTACTGGATTTGTATTTTATTTATTTTTCATGAACATTCCTGGCATTGATTTCTAAAAAAACAAGGCGGTGCTGAGACAAAAAGCATTATACCTATACAGTTTTAAAATGCTTATGCCACTAACATCTTTTTTTATACCACTAACTGCATTTAATGCAGCTACTAGAAGAAAAACACTTTGCACCTGCAATGTAAAGTATCACTGTGAATACTGGAGTTGTCATATCAACTAAATAGTACTTTGGGAATTCAATGTTGAAAACCTTGCTAAGGCTGCAGAAGCGCTTATATTTTCTTAAAGCATTTAGGTTCACAATATGTCACCAGAGTCTGATAAATTTAATCACAGTAAGCAAAACAATGTCTACAGGATTTATGTTCTACCATTTTTTCTCTCGTTTTATGAGTACCTTGAACCAGAAAGATAAGTATTAGGATTTCAGCAGCCATTAATCTGGTCCTGGATTATTTTACGACGCTGTGAGTGCAGCCCGTCCCGCAGTCGCCACGCCAGCATGAGCCTGGTACCTTGGAAGACGTGCCCCACACGTTGCTCCTGGGGCAAGGCACAGCCCCATGGAACTTCGCAAGGCCCGTGGTGCGCAGAGAAGATGCCAGGCTGCTGTTTGATCAGCAGTTAGAGCAGATAGTGATACCCTTTTTGATCAATTCCCTGCGTTAGGGCTAGATGGCAGAGAGACTTTTCTCGTGGTTTAGTTTTCAGGCAGAGCAGTCTCCTGCTCCAAGTTACTGCGTGCTCAGCACGCCCCAGTGCCAGTCACAGAAAGGGTCAGGACAGCTCTGTAGCACCCTTGTAAAGCTGCTAGTGCCCACACTTCAAACAGACAAGCGAAACACCTCCTCAGTCTTCTCAAATAATAAGGAAATTTGGACAGAAACAAGCAGCCCAGCACACAGTCAAATCTCAGAGGAGCACAAAGTCATCTGAACTCAGTCTTCCCTCCCAAGATTGGTTTTGCACAGCTCTGTTCCATCAAGATATGGGATCACGCATTCCTTCCCTGTGGCAA